GATACCCCCTTCCCGACACTACGACAGTCGTTACGGTAAAGAGTACCTACTTTAGTTTATAAGTTAGTGTTAGTACCCTCCTCCCAACACGATGACAGTCGATCCGGTAGAGAGTATCAAATCTAGTTCATAAGTTATAGTCAGATACCCCCTTCCCATCATGGCGACAGCCGTTATGGTCGAGGGTACCCGATTTAGTTTATAAACTATTGTTAGTACCCTTTTTCCCATCACGACGACAACCGATCTGGTAAGGAGTCCTTGAATTAGTTAATAAGTATTTGTTTGTACCCTCGTCCCATCACAACGACAGTCGTTCCGGTAGAGAGTACGTAGATTAGTTCATAAGTAGTTGTTCGTACCCTCGTCTCCTTACGACGACAACCGCTTAGGTAGAGAGTACTTAAATTAGTCTATAAGTATTTTGTTTCTACCCTCGTCCCATCACGACGATAGCCGATCCGGTAGAGAATACTTAGATTAGTTTTACAAGTATTTTGTTTGTACCCTCGTCCCATCACAACGACGGCCGATCCGGTAGAGAGTACTTGTTTAGTTTCTAGATTAGTTGTTTGTACCCTCGTCCCATCACGACGACAGTCGCTCAGGTAGAGAGTACTTAAATTAGTTTATAAGTAGTTGTTTGTACCCCCGCCCCTTCACGACGACAACCGCTCAGGCAGGGAGTACTTAAATTAGTTTATAAGTTATCATTAGGACCCTCTTCCCGTCACGACGACAGTCGGACCGGCAGAGAGCAAGGTGACTCACACATGAGTACCTAATTGTCAACCTTTAGTCAAGCCAGTGCGTACATAAGTAGTGCGACGGCTCACACATGTGACTTTATCGCACCACTTCGTTCCTCAAACCCAAGTAGTCTAGGTTCCTTCTAGGTTAAATTAGGTTCCTTCCATTTCGCCATGCAGGATTCTCTTTCCAATCATACTCTTTTCCCTTTTTATGGCCTTCGTCCTGAAGAAAGCATAAGCAATATATCATGCAATCATATAGGCAGTCCAATAGAAGGGCTTAGCCTGTAAGGGTATACGAGAAAGGGTTTACGTGACACGTACCTCATAGTTCCCTGCCTCCAGAGTTCCTCCTAAACTCCGGTGGAGCTCCCGCAATCGCCCTGCTTTTCTCAGATGAGTACAAGGTGCACATGTACTAAGTATCTATCCAGAATAGAGCAATATACTTAAGTAATGAGCTAATGTCCATTCCAGCAGGCCACACCATAACACTATCAAGAGTCGTCCTCTCCATCTGGCGCATAGCGCTCGGCCTACTCTGCCAAATTATCCCAAGCCACAATTGGTTCCCACAACAGGATCCCTTTGGTTCACATAGACCCGTGTGCATGATTGTCCACACCACCGGCGACCTCTCTTTTTGTATACCGTGTACGTATCTCGTCACCCTCAATCAGACTTTGATTATCCCATACAACGCCTTACTCTTGAAGATCACCCGATCATCTGTTGTATCCCCTTACGCCTAGCAGCCCGGCTATAGTCGCCTACGCCCCGCTACCTTGCTTTGTTAGTAGGTGCCTAGGCACAAATCTTTCGTGGTCTGGGCCGTCTGTACGACGCAGGTTGGCGAGGTTTGAGCATTCACCCAACCAACTGATGTGCTGCAGGGGCCTGAATACCCACATGCGGAAATGTCGAACTGGCCTGTGATGAATATTCACGTCCGCCTTCGCTTAGGGCGGCCATTTCGCTTGCTGAGACCAGGCCCAGAACAATATGATAACTGATAGGCCTATTGAGAGTCGGATCCTCATAATACTAATACTAATAATAATAATAATAATAATAATAATAATAATAATGGCCATAATAGTAATAATAATAATTAGAACAATAGTAATTATAATGCAAGGTATGAGATCAAGAACGAACTTCAACAGTCAAACAACATCATATACGCAAGACCGGATAGTTGCGACCCCGAGCCAATAGCAATGGTTACATCACGAGTTTCACCAGGCAAAGGCACAGCAAGCTCATGAGTGATAGCGTCAGAATGGTCTCACCACCACTGATAAGGAACCAAAGTCGACTTCTCGGCTGGCGCTCAGTACCCAGATTTCGAATAGAAGATCTCATCTAGCCATTCTACAATGCTGCTGGAGACGCCAACAATTTCCCTGACATAGTTACAGATCTCAGACAATGCCGTCTCCACAAACACCTTGTATACCCATTTGCATCACTCACAACCTAGTTCCCCAACACACGGATACCTCGTCTATCCGCACGTATCCACCCTGCTTTCTTTCTTTCTCCATATGTCTACCTGTCTAATTGTCTGTCTTCTTCTGTCACTGTTTGTTTGTCTGACGGTATGTCTGTTTGTATTTGTGTCGCCTGTATTGGTTCGTCTGACCGTCAGTGTTGGTTGGTTCGACTGCAATCAGACTCGTTTTCAAACACACTTTTCACACATGTAAACAGTAACGCAGCATACTGGCGACATGCGCCCACTCAAACTCAGAGATATTTCACTCCCAATTGG